CGAGAGACAACAGAGTTTTTTTAACTGAAAACCAGGGGATTTACCTAAGATGATGTTTTTAGCATTCCGAATTTCACCACAAGATGGAACAGAAGTCGGCAACAATTTCCACCTGGCCTCCTCTGCTTGCGTGTCCCTCTCAGCGAGACACTAGCTTTTGAATATAGTATATAACTTATTTTCTAAGGACTCTCAAAGCCCCTCTCCTAATCGTTGTTCTTAGAGCCCTAGGTTATGGGTGCTGCATTTTCAGATATTAAAACGCCATATACGCGAACATACCATTATAACCTAGAGGGAAAAGACACTAGTGAGGCACATATAAACTGAGCAGAGCTATGAAATTTAAATGACAAAAACTCAATAAAAAAGTCAAATATTTGAACACGTTGGTCGGCATTTTCTTCAGCTCCCACAGCTTCATAATGATGCACGACCGTCCTCGTTCTCCATTTTCCTAAATGTAAGTTGGCTGATTTCAAAGCTGAACACTTCTGTTACTCGCTGTATTAACCACCCCACGTTACTGTTATCTGCCAGCTTTTCACCTGTAATGTGCACGTAAACATCTGAGTTTTGCAAGTTTTACACACCAGTGTCCTTCATCTTGACAACACGCCACGCAGGAAACTTCCAACTGTTTCACACGGAACTCAGAAGTCCCCCAGATTCAGGCTCAAACCCACTTTACACTATATATCATTTACCTTTAAGTCTAACAAGCTTGGGGGGGGAAGACCTTCGGAGCTCAATCTTGGCTAAGTATGTTAAATAAACAAGAAAATGAGTAGTAAAAATCTTAAGGAGAAAACCTAATTTGACAAACACCAGCTGTTACTCCCTCTATGCTGAGCTATGTATTCAAAAATTAAGCAATCATTAGCTTATTATGTCATTTAGCAAATGTTTTCCATTCGTGTGGAAATCCTTCAGGCAGCAAGAGCCAACTGCAGCTCTGCAGAAGATCGGTTTGATCAGACTCCTCACTTCAGGCGTCCCATGAGCCTGTAGCTGTTGCTCTTCTACGTGCATCACTGCAAGGAACACACGGAATCGACCCACGACCATGGGTTGCGTGGCCATTGGGGCGTTGGGGTGGGTGATGCAGCCCCTCTGCACGGGGAGGAGCAGCTGCCAGTACCTGCAGGGGCCTGCAAGAGAGCTGGAGAAGGGCATCTGACAAGCACATGGAGCAGCAGGACAAGGGGTGATGGCTTTACACTGAGAGTAGGTTTAGATTAGACATAAGGAAGAAACTCTTCACCTTGAGGGTGGTGAGGCCCTTTCCCAGGCTGCCCAGAGAAGCTGTGGATGGCCCCTCCCTGGCAGTGCTCAAGGCCAGGTTGGATGGAGCTCTGAGCACCCTGGGCTGGGGGAAGCGGTCCCTGCCCAGGGCATAGGGGTGGAAATAGATGATCTGTAAGGTCCCTTCCAACCCAAACCATCCTGTGACTCTGTGAACACCGCTGCTGTGGGTAAGAGAGAACCGCAGCCTGGCAAGCCTTGGGGTGAAGACCATAGTCGCCTACAGAGCTACAGAGCCCAGATGCTTCCATCCTGCTCTGGCTTCAGACACCTAAAAAGTCTTGACTTTCAGACACCAAATGCTGCTTTGGTCTCAGCTGGCGTCGGTGAAAGAGTGGGTGAGAGGGTTTTGGAAAGGAACCCGCTTTGGTTGCAGCTAATTGGGGCTCCTGAGGCCACCTATTACACTAACTTTTGGCAGCTTTGCTCCTGACTCTTTATAAAGAATTATTTGCCAACAAAACAAGCCCTGCATTAGCAAAACAGAAGTCAAGTATTTTCAGTAAGCATCACAAAAAACCCTGCTATTATTTCTACTGCACTCGTCAATGCCAAGAAGAATTCACGTAAAACAGCTGCACATGCACTAATTAACAGGCACGCAGGCAAAAAAAACCTGAAATATTAAAGTTTTGATCATTCAAACGTGGACAGATAAAAAACAGATTATCTAGCCAGCCCCATTCACAATGGAAATTAAAAAAGAAAAAAATAATCAGTGCCCAACTAATCCAACCAGTTAACACGAGTTCATTCTCCTGAGGACCAACACCATTAGATCTGGTTGAACACCCGGCCTCCCAGAGCCTGCACTCATTCCTACTTCCAGACATCGGCAGTTGGGAAAAATTCACAAAACATTTTCTCCAGCTCGCATGAAAACCAACGTTGTCTAGAAAAATGACTTTTCTACTGGTTTCCTACAGGGTACGTGAGCAGCAAGGTTGCTTACTTCTCATCCGATTCTTTCCTTTTGGAGGAGACGCAATTTCCCCGAAGAGCCCAGGAACGCAGCACAATAACGTTCAGCCCGAGCTGCTCGGATAGCCGAAGTCTTCCACCAGCACAGATGAGTAACGCTCCTGAAGCGGGGCTTCCTTATTAAAGTTTCATCAATCCTCTTATTAAATTTTCATCAGTCAGTTGAAAGCGAAGTTTTGGTGATTTCCCCACCTTTGATGAAGTTCTCTCTCCCTCTCTCCTGCTATAGAATTCCACAAAGAAAGGACTACCCCAATAACTGCTAATACTTGAGAGGAGAGTATGGACAGGCGTGTCTGGGGGTCATCAAGCCCACCCTCTCGCTGTGCATTCAACTGAACAACCATCTCAGCTGTTTACCAACCTCTAACGTAACGTATGATTTGCCAAAGCAACAGGAGGCCGGCCTAGGACGTGGCTTGTTGGGAGCTAGGGACTTGCACCCGAACTCAGCAAACCTGGAGAGAAGTTCTCAGAAACAAACCAGATTTTACTGTCAGTAGTCCCAAAAACTTCTTCAAAGGGCTTCTTAGAATCATCATTCATCCCCCTACATTTACATGCATTTCAAGAGTTAAATGCCTTGAAAACAGTAGTAAAACCCTATCACCAATATAACCTCAAGGGAAAAAAAAAAATGCAATTTTTTTCCTAGCAAGAGTGGTTTCCCCCAATCTGTTTTCTGCCACGTTCCACTGCACGCTGGGTAGTACGGTAACCCTTGCCTGCTGAAATAACCACCCCCAGTTGCAGTCCCTTCCCCAGCCTCCCAGCTCTGCTCAGGCAAACAGACTGGGGGGAAACATCCACAACGGGCAGCACATTTTGGCGTGAAGAAGAGCAGAGAGCAGCTGAAGAAGCAGTGAAGAGATTATTCACAGCTAATTCACTGAGGGTGGTGAAATAAGGTGAAGGCACTGGAACCAGGCAGCAAACCCCTCACAAGGGATGACGCCTGATCACCAAGTATCTACCTGCTACCATCCGTGTGGAGAAGGGTTCATGTGCAGAGGCGTCAAAGAGGAGATGTTTCTGTTGTGCCTTCTCTTCCAGCACAGCATCATCGTCCACAAAAGTTTGTGAATTGTACCCGATTTCTGGATCCAGAAGACCCATCTTCACGCAGCAAACCTGTATGTCACTGAACCATCAGGTACCGCTCCTGGTGTAGAAGAAACCAGCCCGGGCCACCTTGCTGTGCCCAGCCAGCAGACAGCTCGATGGAACAGCACAACCTCCACCACCCAAAGCCAGCGTTTGCTTCCTGGGGTTTCAGGACACCAAGAACAGGCTCCGAGCCCACCCTACACAGGCACGCAAACCCAACAGACAGACATGGTGGTCCCACGGCACACGCCAAATCACGCGGCACGATGCTGTGCCCTCAAGAAGACTCCATCGCCTGCTGGGAAGGAAGCCGACCCTCAGCAACATGACGGCCGACCCCACTGAGACCCACCAGCTGCGTCGCATCCAGCACAGCACATGTTCAGCTCCCCTTCCAAAACCCACCAAACTCCCCCACTCCCCCTGCCCCCTCCACACTCTCACATGGCCTCTGCACCCAGAGCACACCAAAGCCACCCTGAGGCTGCTGATACCATCTCACTCCTCAACAAGTGAAACCACGAGATTTTCCTCCTTGAAGAAAAAGCACCTAAAAGAACAGAAATTACTCTATTTAACAAGACAAGGGTGAAGGCTACCAACACTTGTGAGAGATGAAGGCCCACTCTTACCTAAAAAGGGTAATTCAAGACCTTTCCTTTCAGATTTAAAAAAAAAAGTTATCGGTATTGTCTGTAAAGTAAGTCTTCACAGTGTAATGAATTTTAAATTGCACTCGATCATCAGAGTCTTTCAGTCTTTGTCTTCAGTTTTGCCTACAGGCAAACACCCTTTCCAAAGGGTTATGAGTCTCTTCCCCAGAAGACCCATGTGAAAAAAAAGGGAGGAAAATTTCAAGCAGGTTAAAGACCTCTTGAACTCTTCGTTTCTCTTGGAGAAAAAAAGAAGTATTCACAGAATCCCAGCATGTTCGGGGGTGGCAGGGCCCTCTGTGAGTCACCCAGCCCAACCCCCTGCCCAAGCAGGGTCACCCAGAGCAGGCTGCACAGCACCACGTCCAGGGGGGGCTGGAATATCTCCAGAGAAGGAGACTCCACAACCTCCCTGGGCAGCATGGGCCAGGGCTCCGTCAACCTTAGAGGGAAGAAGTTCTTCCTCCTGTTCAGCTGGAGCTTCCTGTGCCTCAGTTTGTGCCCGTTGCCCCTTGTCCTGTCGCTGGGCACCACTGGAAAGAGCTTGGCCCCATCCTCCTGACACCCACCCTGCAGATATTTGTAAGCATTTATTAATACGCATGAGCATAACGTTCTTTGTAACGGTTTCTAATGATCCCATGAATCCCTGGGTTTTGCTTGCCCTTCAGCCCCTGAGCTACCGCAAGCACCCAAAGGCCCCATAAGAGCAGGTCCACATAGGAGGTCCTCCTTCGGGGCAGGACCACAGGACCCGGGCGCAGACACCGACCTGGCCACCTCCTCTTTTTCGCCCAGAATAGCCCAAAGACACAATTATGACACAAACAGATCCCCACTGCAACGTGCTGACCCGTCTCTGCCCGGGTGAACCCCCGGCACAGGGAAACGCACAGCGCTTGATGTCGGGCAGAGCTTTCCAGCCACCAAACCTCCCGCGGCAGCGCTGGTTCCGGTGCTGGGCTGTGAGAGTGGCACGGGAAAAGGACACCAGAACCCAACGCTACAGGAAAAAAAATTAAAAAAAAATAATAGCAAATTACTGAGTAGCTTCCTAAGGGATCTGAAATATTTTCCAAGGGTATTTAAAATAAAAAATATCTTGAAGGGTTTCAAGTTTGTGTATGCTATGGAGCTCATATAACATTAAACACCAATTCAATTAAATAGAAGTTAAATACTTTGACCCCAGAGTTAATAAGAGTTAGTAATGTTGAGGTCCTAAACCTCCCTCGCAGAAGGATGTACACCCCTCTCACTTCTTTTTAAAGCAATACACGAGCTCCTTATTTTTATTCCTAACCCAGCTAATCCCTAACGCCCTGACCGCCTGCATCCCCGGGTTTGGGGTCTCCCCGCTGCCCACGATCACCACCGCTATTCAAAAAAAACCCCAAAATGTCACAAGGCCACCATCTGTGACTGCAAAGCCATTTCAGCAGCGTTCCCTGAAGCTCCGCTGCTGCTGCCCAGCTCGGCTGCCCCGGGAGCGGTGGGATGGGGGTCACGCAGCCACAGCCAGCCCAGCGCGCCGGCCTGAAGCCCCCCCGCGCCTTTCGAGAAGGGGTTTTGAGTTCTTCCCTCAGAACACGTTCCCCGATCAGCTCCTGCTGCCGGAGGGGTCGAGAGGAGGGAGCGGTAACGAGGAGCGGACATGGCAGCTTCATCGCATCTGCACCCACCACAGGGGAGACTGAGACCAGAGCCCAGCCCAGCACCGCGGCCGGTGTAACTCTCGGGCAACAGCCACCACAAAACACTCCACACAGCTTCCAAAGATGTGTGAAAAACAACTCTGCAAGAAAGAAAGAAAAAAAGCAAAATGGGAATTACTGTTTATCATCCCTCACTCCCTTTCCCTTCATCTGTAGAGTCCATAAACTAAATTTTTTTAGATGACAGTTCTTTATTAGACTGTCGTCAGAATTAAAACTGACAACTCCCCTACGAGGAGAGATTGAGGGAACTGGGCTTGTTCAGCCTGAAGAAGAGAAGGCTCCGAGGGGACATTATAAATGCCTCCAAATATCTGAAG